GCACAACAGAAAGTTTAACTTCTTTTTCGAAAAAAAAAAGTTGGATATTTCTAAAGATTTTTTTTTTTGCATAAAATTTATTTTTTTCCTTTCGTATCCAGCCTTATACAAATGGTTCCGAACGTTTTCTACTGCAATCTTTAGCTCTTGAGCAATCGAAGCAGCGCTTAGATGACGGCCAGACTCAACAATGTCCATGAATTTATCGACATTTTCGACCATTGGTCTACGTGAGAGCAAATTTTACATCAAAATTACTGGAATGAAATCGAAAATGTGCATGATTGACTGTAACAGTATCAGGAGCATAAACGCTATTCACAGCCACCTGGCTTGTGTTTTCGCTCTTATCGAGGAAAAACTGAAAATATAGCGTATTTTCCCTTTGCTAGTGTCCATCTTTAACGCACGCTCCAACAAAACCGAATCAACCAATCACACAACTGTCAAAAAAGCTTTTTTAGTACAAAATGTCGTCTTTCTAACGCCATCCAGTGGAACCCGATCGGACGTTTACAAAGCGAGATACAGATAATATACGCCATCTATTGGAAAAATAATGGATTACTTTTTACTACGCCAATATTTCAAACTCTGTCGTCTTATCACAAATAATATTCTGTCTATACTTAAAAATGATACGTCACTTCTCATTCTTCCTCATAAATAACGTGCTCATCTCATACACGATTTTAGACGAGTCCTTCCGAAATGGAAAGGGGCTCCTCTGTAGAGAGTAAGTAGCAACTGTTGCAAGATTGGTACTCCGTTGGATTTGAAGGTTAAAATTATTATTGGCGTTAGTGCTGATCCACAAAAAGACTAATTTATTTATAGCTTCAAGGTTGCGACTTGCAACAGTGACGTATAATATTTTGTCTAGTACTCGTTCTTTACCAAACCCATAAAGCTCACTTGCTTGTGCCGTTTACAGAAAACAGACGGCGCAGTTGTTGAGTCTAATGTTATTTTAACGGTTGTAAGCTCTATAAGAAGGTCGTATTTTCTCCAGTATTACATTTAACAATTTAGTTCTTCGTCGCCATATTAAAATAGCTCAGTCGGTAAATCATAGTGTAAACCCAGTTTTTATTATTTTATCGAACAATCGCTTCGTTACAGTTGGGTAAGGATTAGAAATTCGGTTACATCATCTCTATAAGCACCAGTCAGTAGGCTAAAGAAGAAATCTATAAACTCGGTATACTGTGGGCATAGGTGCAAAGATCGCTTTTCTCGTTCTTATATGAGTATGATCTGGCCTTGAAATCTTTTGTAAGTCAAGGAATCTTCGAGCATTCCTTCGTCAGGCATAACCTCTTCTTCTTCTTTTTTGCTGGCGTAGACACCACTTACGCGATTATAGCCGAATTAACAACAGCGCGCCATTCATTTGTTCTTTTCGCAGTTTGGCGCCGATTGGAAATATCAAGTACAAGGCAATGGAGGCCTTCCTCTGCTTCCACCAACGGGCACCGCATGGCATACTTTTGGAGCTGAAGTGTTTTCGTCCATCCGGACGACATGACATAGCCAGTATAGCCGTTGACTATTAATTCTCTGAAGTATGTCAATGTCTTATCGTTTATCGTTTAGCCAACTCATCGGATGTAGACATCGTCCACGCTTCTCCACCATATAGCAGCACGGTAATAACGAGCGAATTGTATAGAGCTCTTCGAGAGTGGAGAGCATTAAGTGAAAGAAGTCACACGATAAAGAGTCACTCTCTCTGAAACATAGTTTAGTATCGAACACCTCGGAGTAATTCTTCCCGATTCGCACTGAAACGTTTGGTGTTGCCGTATAACTTTGTTGGTTGAGTCCAAATTTTAGACATGGCGACGTAAGATCAGCTCCTTTTCGTGTTATTTCGTCGATATTTTTCTTACGGGTCTTTCCCAAGATTTTTCATTTTTTGCTCACGATCATAAAAGCTTCTGTAAGTCGGGGCACGCATTCTGATCGATCGCATCGTTGCAAGGTAGGCAGTAGTAGGCAGTTCGACATTCCTCATTGTACCAGCTTATTTTCTGACTTTGTCGAAAACCAACCGCGAGTCGTTCCAGCCGCAGCAATGTAGTTTGGGGTCGTTCTATGCCTTAATTTAAAGCATATTTTGTGACATCGTCATCCCTTCCATAGGAGGATAAACGCTAGTCAGCGATGAGTTGAAGAGTTTTGCTTTGATACGGTTTGTGGCGAGACGTTCTCTGCCAGAGTGAATCCCGTATCAATGATGGAGTCTCTCTTCACCTCAAGTCAAATACCAAATTTGCGCATCCTTATGTAGAAAATTTTACTAAGAAACACAATCTTCCATACGCCAATGATTTTACTGAGCCATCAACCAGCTAGGCTGCGGCACCTTTTCAAATTAACGGAAAGGCCACATTAAGCTCTCAAATTTTGATCAATAAAAAAGAAAAGATTTCTCATCTGATGCTTATTTTCTCTAACTTTCATTGGAACAGATTTTTCTATGTGGTGCGAGAATGTGAATTTAATCGCAGTTACGCAGTGGTTGCTACTACCTCCACCGAAGACCTAGAAAAACTCTGAAGACTAACTTCTTGTACTGGGAAGGCGAATGAAAGAGTATATCCAATGATTGGATTATGTCACGGGCTCCACTGAGCTACTCAGGAATAATTCCTAACTCGAAAGATCGATGAGAGAAAAAATAGCACATTGGACTCATAGATGGATTGAACATAATGTACCAGTATTTCCTTCCACTACTTCTTCATTGGCATAGGCAGGGGTTGCGCGAATGGAGTCGAGTTAGCGGCTTTCGATTATTCCTTAGCAATGGAAAAGGAGAGACCGGAGTCAACCCGGATTTAATCTGGCCAATGGCTATCAGCTTTTCACAACCTAAACCTATTCAACTTCATCAGCCTGACGTACGGAATTTGAAATTTGCCGAGTCATGAAAAGCAGGAGTTTATTTGTCGAGATTTAAAATTGCTTAGCTACATGCACACAGACTGATCAGCTGAAATACACGATTAAATATCCATCATTTTACTTGATAAATCTCTCCTATTTTAATGGTTATGCATCTATCAGCGCCAGCTAAATTATTCGCCATAGGCAGATGGTAATCCTTTGGTTAGAAGTTCGGTGGTGTAGCTTCTTGCGAGAGTGAGGTCTGACCTTACCCTGATAAAACATAATTCCCCTCCTGCTGGCAACAGCTGGTCTCTTCTGGGCGATCAGTGCCTTCAACGGTCAAATTGGTGACAGTATAGATCCGAATTCATAATTTCTCCGCAGAGTAGCAGCTCATAGCAGATGATTCCTTGCTAATCACACCAAACACACAACGAAAACCGAATTGTAGAAGAGACGCAAATGAATCTGCAAGCCTGGCAAAACACTGCCCTCAGAATCATGACAAGAAACCTTCTGATGTGCCACGAGGTAAGGAGCATAATACTTAGCTGTGCAGGCAATTCGTGCTGGGATGCTACCTTAGGAAACAACTCATAAGCCACTTACTAGAGGCTAGAACACCATCCCGGCACATCAGAAAGGGAGTACTTGACGTAAAGGACCTAATTCAGCACGGGGTTAGGGGTTCAAGAATTTACCCGCAGTAAGTAGTGCCTGTCGTAAGAGGCGACTAAAATCCAATAGATCCCGTGAGATTCGGGTCTTTATTCCGGACTGATGCGGATTTGTATACGTCAAAGAACTGTCACCTCCGCAATATTCCCCAAAAACTATTTTGGGGAATAATTTTGCGTTTACAACAACAAAAACAACACGATCTATCCGGTACCGGACGAAACGCCATTCTCTGTGAGTCCGGGAACACCTTCCTGACGTTTCTTCTAGGGAATGGTGTTCTCGTAGTCAAACCACTCGTCGTCAAAGCAGACGAAGAGCGCGAGCTGTCTCGAGAGTCCCACGTAATGCTGGAACAACTTATATCTGGATATTGTAGTACATTAAACACCTACTTATTCGGACTTGACCCCGACGCACCAAACCAATGAGTCTCCGCATGGCACTAACCCCCTCTTTGCAGGCGCTCTAAGACCAATTCATCTAACCCCTCTCTCCCTCTGGTCGGAACCTATCGAAAGAGCTCATTTCCTGAACCTACCGTTAGATAGCCTCGATGACCTAGACTGATCTAGCATGCTCTTAAGCGGGGTTGACACACCGCTACAGCAACAACAACAATTGTAGAATACTGCGTTAATAGAACGCAAGAAACAAATCACTTAAGCCATCTAATGCAAAAATAGTGGTTTACTTTTTACTAGACATAACATTAAAACTCCAAATCGGACTTAAATTTCCTTTTAACTAATTTCTTCTTAATTAATCTTTAAAAACGAACTACTTAGCAACGAAATGCTACTTTTGAGCGTGTATACCCAATAAGTAGTTGATAAGCGAAATTTTCATCGACTATACTGACCTTAAGACCCATCGAGTATGTTCGTTTGTACATTATTTAAATACAAATAACTTCATTATCTCTTTATTGTTTCTCTTTTAGATTTTATTATAAAATTTCATTGAAAAAAAGTGATTTAGATCAAAATTCAATGTAGATACATACATACATAATCAACTTAACATACATCAATGGGAAAATTTATTTCAAACTTTCATTAACCCATTTGACTGGAATGATCATATATCTGCAATTTAATCATTAACGATGTAGAAATAAATTAAGTAAGTTTCGGCACACATACCAGACAAAATCAAAAATTGCTTGCGAACGATATTGAAAAAAAAAAATAAGAATATGCAGTGAAACGGAAAATACGAGAAAAGATAGAATAGAAAAAGACGGAAAATAAAATATAACAAAGAATTACTAAATATAACTAAAAAATTTAGCATTCTAACACTCACAGTAGAGTTGATGATACACTTAAAATAAGTAGTTATCGGATGAAGAGAACTTGTATATAAAATTTTTAACTGAAATGATAAAGCATCGTAGACTTACGACGATGACCTGCATTTTTGAAATCACTATTAAATATTATTGTATGATACACTCACACAACGGTTGATACAATCTCATTCCAGATGTAGAAACATTTTCAATTCTAAATCATAATCATCCAAATTAATTTACTATTTTTGTTTACTTTTTATCTACTCCTCTTTTGATGCACATATTTAAATTTACAGTTTGCTTACTTTTTTGTTCTCTTGGTATACAAATTGTTCATGTTTCTTTCTTATTTTGGGAAAATGTTCTAATCATTCTAATCATTCGGCTAAATGACACAACTTAGAATGTAATAGAACACTTATGTTTTCAGTAAAATCGAATTAATTAGGACATGTGTATTATAAATGATTTACATGTAGAAAAAGATGAGCTTTCTCCTATATCAACGTAATTTTCTATTGCAGTTCTGCTGTTCTTGGAATTTGGTATTAATAGAACTTTTTCGCTTGAGCTTCACTACGACTCCTGTTAACGGAAATAAATATATTTAAATATTTTAGTATAGAAAATATACTTTAAAAAAATTACTCACTTGAAAATTTGGTACAAAAATACAAGCAGCAGCTGCACAACTGTAACGCCTAGGAACAAAGTTACACCAACACAATTGCCTGTTGGACAACCCACTTGTGCGCCAGCTTGTGGCGAGCCAAGTCTATATTAAAGAAATAGCAAAACAATTATTACGAATTTTCTAGTTAAAATGTATTTCAGCAACAACACTTACTTTTGTCCAACATGCGCCATTCCTTGTTTCACCTGATTCATACCGTCTCGCATCTCGTTGATAACGGCCTGAATATCATATCCCGCTGGTTGCACCTGAGCTGTGGGCGCACGTTGCTGATTTTGTATGATGGTGTCTGTGCGAATTTGAATTTCACCAATTAGCGTGCGTAGCTCACGTGCTGTCGCTAATAAGGCATTCTGATTGGCAACCATAAGATCAACTTCGGGTCGTGTAATAGTGCCACTTACTGGGCCTGTGGCAACAGGTGGTACACCGGCGCCTGTAGCGCCTCCTACTTGTTGCACTGGCGCTGCACCGGCACTGCGCGATACCAACGAGAGCGTGTTCTCTTGGCGACCGATTACTTCATCAACTTTACGCGATAGATCACGCAACTGTTCGAAGATTTGACTTTGCCCTTGGAATATTTGACGCAATTCACGTTGATTTTCCGATTCGAAGAATTCCTCCCACTCATCATCATCTTTAACCTATGAGAAATTGTGATTATTTCATATTTTTTTATTTATTTTTCAAAGTCAAAAGTAAAATTTATCAACACGACGTTTACAAATTAAATTGGACATACCTCATCTGGATGCTCCTTCTTATACTCTTGCTTTTGTTTCTCCAGCTTTTCTTGGTATTCTTTGTATTCTTGTGTCAGCTTCTCAGAGTTCTCTGGGGATTTCACCGGTTCTGATGGTATTTGACCGGGTGGATGGAGTGACGTTGTTAAAAAGTGGAAGACGTCATGATCGTCTGCCAAACCGCCCGTTGCAGCCGATAAACCAAAGTAACCGTTCTTGGGTAACTGTACACCATCAGCACGCAAACACATCTCATAATCCTCGTTATTGTTCGTCATACCATTGTGGAACAGCACAGTCAGTACATTGTTGTAGTATTCAATGCGCGCACGTGTTGGGAATGGTTTGTTGCGAAAATCACGCAAACAACCAGACAATAGCTGAGTGGTACCATCATTTTGGTGATCAAATTGTTTCATGCCATCGTTCACCACAGCCATAATATATGGGTTATTGTGTTTATTGTCGTTATCAAAGGAATCAAAGAAGATGCCCAAACCATTCCAGCGATCCGAGGAGCCAAATACAGCACCATTATAATCACCCTTTTGTGTGGTGTACCAAAAAGCCAAGCCATCAGCACCAATGCGACCACGTCCTGACACACGGAAGACTATTTCCACCTCCCACCAGTCGAAGTTCGTTGGCGACTTTGTCCAAATGGCACCCTTTTGTGAACGCAAAGACGGAGCTACACGTACACTCTCCGCGCTGGCAATAGCATCTGTAAATTATTTTGTCAATAAATTTTGTGTATCTAACTATTAAAGCTCATTAAAGCATATTATCAGATTGTTTGAGGTTCATTTTTAACAAATAGGTGTAAGTTTCAGTGCACCTAAATATCCTAATAGTGGATGCAATAGACGCCAGCAGTTTTGAGTGCCACTCAGTCATCAAACATGCTGCATCACACTCACACTAGTGCGCTTCCTTGCCAACACAGCTGAGACAGCACAACATCTGACGTGTCGCCCCACTTGTCAAACGCGTTTTCCCCCACTGCCAACAATGGGACTTTTTTGCCGTTGTTGAAGCTGTCACTTCGTATTTGTTAGTGTACTTACTGCCTCCGTACTCCCAGAATGGCACGGTACCATCTTTCTGTGCCAAATATGGCGGCTTAAATGAATATTTGTACTCGAAGCGCCGATGCACACCGGCCAGGTGATTGTTCACATTAGCTTGGACGTGGCGTTGTTCCACTAGAATTAGTAGAATCACCACAAATTGGAAAAATCTGCAACAGCGCAGCAATCCGGTACCTGACATCTTTATTTGACACATACACTATTTTCTTTTTGTTTCACGTGAAGTTGGCTGTTCATGCATTTAAGAACCCATTACAGTGTTGTGAAACAGAAAATGATTATTCTAATAAGATTCTTAGATTTTTCAATTAAATGAGGTGATTTCAAATTTTTAACTAAGAACTAATAACTTAGGGCTGTAAAGCTCACGGATACTTAAATTTATTGGAAAAGCTTCAATAGTAACAAGTCATAGATAGAGTCATCGAGGTCATCCAGCGGGTGGTCTAGAAAAAGGTCTGTTTTGCTGGGATCTGAGCAGTGGCGATTGTTTTTTTGGTGGGCGATATTTGCTGCATTTAGACAGATGAGTCTTATAACAGTAACAGGTTAAGGGTCTAAGACACTTCTAGGACTTTGGAGTGTACACGTACAACTTGACTTACGAGTATTTGGATCCGGATGCAGCCAAGTAAATTGATTCATGTCTTCGAATTTTCGCCTCCTGCTACCGCGATAGCCGAGTGGTTAGCATTGCGTATTGTCATTCGGAAGGCCAAGTTTCTAAGCCAATGTCCGAAAGTTAAAGAATTAATTAAAAACTAAGCTTATAATAATAAAAATGGGCTATCGCGTAAGCCGAGTCAACCATAAATTGTCAATCGTTTTCTAACGCAGTTCAACGCTAGTTGAAGGCACTAAGAACAGCCAGGTCCTTCTCATGACGTATAAGTTTCCCGGGGATACCAAAGTAATTGCGGGGTCCCTTTCAGTAGATTAGGCTGAGTACACTTGGGTTCCAATCAGGCATTTACTTATCCTTTAGTTCTTCGCCGCCGTACTGTATTTGAAAAGCCCGGTTTGAATACCATTCGTTCTTGTCGATTTACTTTTCTTCAGGCGCACACATATGATGAATTGGTGCTGAGGATTATCTAAATCGGACGACTATATCAATAAGGCATATAAAAGTATGAAATTTTGGCATGCTACATTCGTATCTACAAATAAACATTATCACCGAAAAACATCCAAATCGGAGACCTATGTACATCACATAGCCCCCCTAACAACTGGTTTGTTAAGCTGAGGTTTTGAGTCGAAAATTCGTCAAAAAAGCTTCTGAAAACGTGAAAATTTCTTTACACACGTATATACAAATAAACAGTGTCACCCGAAATTCTCGAATTCCAAGGACTATACCACCTAGCCGCCACGACCCAATTTTACAAAAACTCCATAAATTTGATATGGTCACGAAAAGTGTAAAGACTTCGGGACAACTTTTCTTCCTTGCCCTAATTTCATAACTGCGCAGCTGCCGTGTAAGTGTGCTTCTTGATGGTTGACCAATTTTACCGGGCAATGAAAACTTCAATTTTATTTATAGTTTCTTTCATTTTTCTCATACAGTGCATACATAGTATCGATTATATATCGATGATTAGCTTAATTAGGTAACTCCTTAGGAAGTCGAGTGTTTTTGCATAGTGTTGTAGAAAACATTCATTTTGCAAGTTATTTTGTGTATTATATTTGGTAGAATATTAGTATTTATATATATATATATGTATTCTTAAGTTTGCCATCTACGCTTTTAAAGGTAAACATCACAAATTTTATTCGTTTCGTTTCTTTTTTTTTTCATTCTTTGAATTTCACAGTTACATTTAGGAAATCCTTTGCATAATTTTATTTATTGTTTATTTTTATTTTTATTTATTTATTTTTTTTTTTGTATTAAAAATATTGAAAGTTTACGTTTAAATAAATGTGAGTGCTTCACGAAACTGTGGAGGAGAGGGAAAAAGAGAGTGTCGGATAATTATAGATAAATGAAGTATAATAAAAAAAACTGAAAAAATATGGAGAGAGTGCAAAAAATAAAAATAAAATAAAACGCGATAAAATTTTCCGTAAATTAAAAAATTTATAACTATTTTATTCAATAATAGTTTGTTTTCATATATAAGTATTTTACGCTTACATAACTGAGCTGCCAAATTGCTTGATTGTATACAAATGTGTTTGTGTATATAGAGCTAGTTATAAATCAAACTTACCTAAAACTAATGCGAAATACTTAATCAGCAATGAATCATTGAGTTTTGGTGTTAAGTACAAAATTAGTATAAGAAAAGCCTGTTTTCATAATAAAGTTTTTATGATTTTTTTTTTCAAAATGATTATTTGCAATTATGTGAAAAATGCAAACGTGTTTTTTTTTTTTTGACGATCAAACAACGACATATATTGTGCTGATAGTTTATTGAACTAAAGTGTTTCCGGTTTTTGAATTCTCATAAGAAATGCAACTTAAACTACAGCCTAACAAATTTCAAACGTAATAACATATTTTCTTCTTTTTTTTTTGAACTACCTTTCTACGAATTAAACCTAGGCAGTGTGTTATACGTAATAAATATAATCATACGTATACACTATGAGTGTTATGTAACAGTGTGTGGGTGTTGCTTGCTTTTTTTTTTTTGTGGTAGCAATAATATGATTTATATGCTTATGTACGTGTAGGTATTGTGTACGTACGAATATGCATTTAAACAGCACTTATTTTGCTGTGGTTGCAAGTGGAATATATTTTTTTTGTTCAGTTTTGCATTTATTACATCATAAATATGAATTTTTACAATTTATGTTAAAGTTGTATTTTGCAATTTAGAGTTGAAAATTGGAAAAAAAAACTGCTTAGAAGTATTTGCAGATTCGTGTTATGTTTGTATATATGTTTACAAAACCTTTACGCTCTCATAGCATCAAAACACACTGTAAAAATATATGCATATAAATTTAAGTAGTATTGTGCACTTACATTTAAGTGCATACAAACACGCACACACATTGTGTGTATATACATAATTAGTATATGCATGCAGCACCATAGCTTTTCGCTTACAAGTAGTATCTTAGTATCAGTTAGAGCAAAAAATATATATTTATGTATGTATGTATGTATGTATATTAAATTCCACAGTTTACACTTCTTTATTCAATTAACTTTAATCAACTACTTTCTTATATGCTTATGCCTAAAAAATGTTATTCACTTGCTTTGATGAAATTATTAGCTATAAAATATTATTATAATTAATAAAAAAAATGTTTTTTTACGACTTTTTTTAGCCGCTTAATAAATATATATAATGTATATATATATATATATATATATATATATATATATAATCACTTTCATTCACTTTCATTCAAATCAATTCAATCTTATTGGTAAGATGGTTTGAAAAGCGATATATTTTCCACAATAGACGCATATATCGAGCAACTGCAACTCCCACGTTTCAAGCCAAATTACAAAAGCGTTCGAGTTATAGACAAAACTCTTTCGATATCAACGTTGCCCAAAAATGTTATGTACTTCATTAATAGCATGTTTTACAAATTTGTGGCTGTTGTGGCTTTCATTTAACGTAGTGCATCTGAGTTATAACTTTTCTTTGCAAATATATACTATATATGGCGTGTGCGTGGTCAATTTCAACTTTTATACCAAAACATTATTCCATTGGCGTTTAATGCTGATGATGAGCCGTAGAGGCTGTTGTGGCGGATGAAGAAGAAGAAAATATGCTTAGCAAATCACCCTCATACAATGCTATCAATAGCATGATGCCTACGCCAGTACACATGCCAAGTATTTGCAATAAAAATTGTTCGAGTGTCTTGTGTGCTGATGATAATTCTGGCATCTGTAACATGAAGAAATTAATATAATGAAATTATAAATATTTATTTCGCTTTCACTCACCATATCCACTAAGGCAATGTAGATAAATAGACCCGCAGCTACGGCAAACATCCATTGTGCTACATTTGGCGATTGACCAAAGACAATTCCAAATATCATACCAATGAAGCTAAGCACACTTGTCAGTAAATTATAATAGACTGCTGATTTGATAGACATGCCCGCTTTAATCAATATTGCAAAATCACCCAATTCATGTGGTAATTCATGGCAAAACACCGCCAGCGATGTTGAAAAGCCACCAGCAATGTTTTCAGCGAATGCAGCGCCTATTAGGAAAAGTAAAAAAAAGTATGCATTAGAATTTTAATATAAATAAATATGCGAAGGTGACAAAAAAGTCAGATTTTGAAAGCCCTCGTAATAAAAATGTATATTTATCGGCAAAGTAACTAAAAACTAAAAAATAATAATATTTATAAGTTGCAAGAACGAGCTCTTTTGCTTGCTATGAAAATTCCAACACCAATTTCTTGCGATTCCGCAAGCATTACCACATAAAAATATTAAACAGAAAATAAAAGTTTAATTTTTTATATAAAAGGTACGATATCTCTGTTGCAAATATTACGAATATTGCATGACGTCAGAAGCTGTCCTAAATTGCTTCTCCAACAGCCTAGACTCCTGTGATATTAACATTTTAACTATAATCGCAAAAGTTAAAAGCCTAAACTGTGCGTCAGTCAATTTCACGACATCAGTTTAAGCTAAAAATCATTATCTTCTACTTTAAAATAATAATAATTTTTTATATTGATTTTGTGTCGTGATTGTTTTTTTTTACCATGAAATGTATTGACATGCATATTGTTTTGTACGTAGCAATATTCGTATTAGTTTTTAGCGTTTTGTGCCTGTATAGAAAAAAAAAAAAAAAAAAAAAAACGGCACATAGCACAGCATATAATTCAAAGATGCCGCTGATATCAAATACTACCTTCTCAAACTAATCAACTTTTTACATATTTTTTGCAAAAACATTACACTTATCTCTACGCAGTTCAGAAAACTAAAAACAAACTTAAACCCAGAGCGATCTTGAACTTCGCGTTCTCGTTCTATCATCAATTCAATCAATATGTTTGAACGACAGAGCAGCCAACCAGTGCAATATAATCTCTTCTAACATAATCTTATCGTTAAATATTTTCACAAAAAAATAAAAATAAATAAACAAATAAAACAATAATTAAAAATTAAAAAAAAAAAAACTCTGAACTCCTACCCACCTATAGCCATGCCATCGGTGAAGTTATGCAAACCATCACCCATAATAATCATCCAGACAACAGCGCTCAACGACTCTGGCGGCGAATGCACATGTCCATGCTTATGACTATGCCCATGATGGGATGATTCATGCTCACGCAATATCACAGTTGGCACTGAATCACTGACCAACGAGTGCTCTTTGGTATTGCCATTTGTCGTCACGGTGGGATTATAAACTAAAGCATGACTATGTCCATCGCCAGCGCCACCCATTGAATTCCCATCCAAATCTGTTGAAATTGTATTGCTATCGGGTAAATGGATATTATGTTGTGACTGTTGCGTCTGTTGATGGTGATGATGATCTTGATGATTGTGATGCCACACCATGGGTATAAGAGATTGTGCAACGCCATCATTGGCATCTGCATCAGATTTGCCATTACGTTTACGTTGTTCCACACTATTATTACTAACACCCATTAAATCGCCTGATAAATCGGATATATTATTCAATTTTGAGCCAGGCAAATGCATATCATTTTTCGTATCCATAGCTATTTCATCATAACAATAAGGATATGAGCTGTATTTGGATTTACAAACTTTATCACCAGCAACAGAGTTATTCACCGACGAGTCGGGATCACGTACAACTTTGGCGCGTGATTGTTGTTTTGTATCACTTTTCGCTATACGTTTGCGCCATTCTGCAATCATGGTGAGACCATGTTCGGTCATATAAAAGAAGACTATACCACTCATACAGGCGAGTCCTTTAAGTATCATATTTTGTTCACTCTGGCCGGCGAGAGACTAAAATGAAAAAAAAAAATTAATAGAAATCAAATTAAAAATAATTTTCAAATGTTTTCATTCATCACTCACATGTGGTAGTAAATGCAACAGCGCATCGCCAGTCATTGTACCAACAGCCAACGCTACAAAATATTGTATGATGTATTTATAATATCTCGAATCCATAAATGGTATGATTGCCACACCGACTAGACCCAAAATGCCACAGGCGAAAACCGAAACAAATGCGTAAACCCAAACTGAAAAGAAAATAGTAATTTAGAGTTTTTTTTTTAGCATGTAATATTAAAAATATAACTCTTCCAGACGTGGCGTACACTAACGTTAATCATATAAAGGATTTAGATCTTGAGCAATCGAAATAAAACGGTCGGAATTGAGAATGTCCATGATTTTATCGATATTTTTGACACTTGTCCGTCCACTTCGTGAATCATCTTTTATTTAAAAATTACCGGAATGAAATCGAAATTATCTATGACTGACTGTAACAGTATCAGGACCACAAACACTATTCACAGCCGCATGGCTTGCATTTTCCCACTTATCGCAGAAAAACTGTACAACGTAGCGTACTTTCCCTTTGCTAGTGTCCGTCTTTGACGCACCCTGAAACACAACGGAAACAACCAATCACAAAACTGTCAGAAAAGCTTTCTAAGTAGGAAATGCCGCCTTTCTAACGCCATCTAGCAGAGCCCGATCGGTCTTATACAATGCGTGATACAGATAACATACGCCGTCTAGTGGAAAAATAATGGATTTCTTTTTACTACCCCTATCATATGAACGCGCCTCCACTCGTCCGCCTGTACATTCATGTACACAATAACTTAAGTAAGAGTTGAGATATTTTGATTCCTCGAGTTAAAATTGCTATGGCAAATGGGTGAAATTGGACCAAGTACGTGTTCACTTTCAATATAAAGGCAATTAAAAAAATATGTATTCAATAGCTCAGTAAATGTGCAATTTAAATCAAATTATGAAGAGTTCAAAAATCTTCGGAAGAGCGTGGCAACACTTTGGGGTTAAAAAGTATATCCCAGAAACCACTGATTTGATACTTGTAATTTTCTTGGCATAGTGTAATCAATAATTGAATGTAGGCTCAATCGACTATCAACTAAGACTTTTAAGTTTGCGCGCACCGCTTGACTCAAAGACTAATGTTTTGACCGATTTGTAGAGTAAATATAAAAATCAGCTACGTATTTAATGCTCAGTTCGAGACGAATTTAGTCTTCCTTATTTGTTTTTGTTTATGTTCTGGTCGGTGATTGAAAATTTGACCATCCAAGGTTTCAATATACTTTCAAAAACACAATACTAATACTAATTTACATGCTATAAATCAAAAAATCCAGGATTAGTAACATTTTGTAAGCATGAAATTTCAAGATATTCAAAAGTATTCTGAAAAAGAAGCTTTAAGCTCTCTTTTAGCATTCGGTCTACTTTTAGGGCTTTCAGTTGTTATGAAAAATTTCTTTTCCTTTTGTACACTTTCTTAAATAAAAGCAAACCGGGCCCACACTTAGTAACTATACTTGTACACAATCTTCATACAAACCATATATGATATCCTCATGTTGGTTTTCTAATTGACTCGCTTCAAATTCTTCAACATGCTCCAAAATCGCAGGATCTATGCAGCCTGTGCGATCGACAGCCAGTGGCGAGGCAATTTGATACAGCAGTATGGGACACAGGTGCAGCATATCGTCTTTACTTATTGTGTAATTGGTGGAGTGGGTGTGTTGCAACGTATGCTGGGTTTTTAATTGATTTTCTTGCGCATGCGCACAATCAGGAGCGTTGCTATCATTGATATTTGCACTACAATTCAGGCTGCGTTCAGCAGGTGCGTGAATGCGCTCGAAAAGCTTATGTGGTTGGACATGATGGACTAGAGCCGCATCGGTAACACACTGTGGAGTAGTTAGAAGGTAGGTTTAAAGAAAGAAAATCAAATACAAGAAAAATTATATATGTAAAGTACTTACTGTGCCATTACTAGGCGCCTGCTCCGTTTCCGCCGAAGCATTATGCCTGTGTGGTGAGGTTTGTTCTTGTTCTTGCTCTACGCTACCACCTACAATTAACTGATTAAGACCGAGTCTTCTCAGTATTTGCTGAAACTCATCAACCGTAAGCTTGCCATCTGCTTTATGCCCATATTCAATAAATATGCGCTGCAGGAATTCAGCTGTGATTTCAGGTCGATGCATCATTACACTGGTGGTTTCTTCGCCGTGAGCATGCCCAGCATGTCGTTTTCTTCGATGTGGTTTGTTATGTAAATTATTTGTATTAGCCAATGCATCATCTGCAGGATTGTAGCTGTCAGCAGTTAGTTGATTGGAGCCAAAGCGCAGAGCATCTGGTCGCTCATACACTCTGGAATTTAACTGCTGGTATTCGAGATTTGATTGCGCATTCGTTGCGCCATTGACCACATAATCATTTATTATATGCTCCTGACAAGGTATCCGATCGGCACATAGTAGACACACTACACACACAGCCATAATATGGCGGGCCATTGTTGCTGGCTTTTATTCTTAATATTTCGTTAGCCAATTTTAAGGGGAATAAATTTTTGAATGAACTTTGCAAACGATTTAGTCGAACACGTCTGCGCACAGCACAGATATGTCTACACTTTTTGTATGGTGGCTGCACACGTATACAAACACGCACACAGCGGCGATCACTTTATATACAAATTTAATGTATAATAAAAATACTTTTTTTTACAATTTACTTATTGTGTAATTTGTATATTGAACTTTAATTTACATTTAAATCAGCTTATATGCAGCATTTCCACGCGCATGCCCACTTGTTATCTGCAATCGGTAGAAAAGAGAATAAAATTTATTAATTTGTGTTGCGTAAAAATAACAAAAAAAAAATAAGTAAATAAATGCCAAAAAAGCGGCAAAGCTCTTTTCTCTGCACGCGCGTGTGCCCGCGACTTAAATCTCTTTTGATTTTTGTGGCTTGGTTTGTGGCAAACAATCACTTCCCACTTTGCTTGGGAGATTTTCGAAAACTAACGACTACCTTAAATGAACCGAGAACTTTGGCAACTCGCTCACCAATGATTTCCTTATTCAAAACAATTAATACGAAACCTACACGATCGACAAGTCATTCATAGTTCTGTTTGTACATACATACTCATGCAACATACTATAAGATACATACACGGTGTGTTCCAAAGATAACCGAACTTTATATTTGAATCATACAACATACAGCGCCATCTATTGAAAATTTGCAGCATTAAAAAGATACATTCATCCTCTCTCCAACGCACCTAACATCATATAAGTCGGATGACAGATATAAAAGTGACAGCCATTTCAATAAAACCAAAAGTGTGCTAATGGTTCAAAAATAGAATGGAACAAAGAGCAAATATACAATTTTGTGTCAAAAAAAAATTATTAAAAAAAGTTTATTGTGATGGTTGTATGAGTCGTACGCAAGTTTATACGTGGTTTACACGATTTAAAAATGGTCGTGAGGATTTAAATGACGCCCCCAGAGCAGAACGTCCAGAAACTGCTAATCGTGCTGAACTGGTGGAAAAAGTCCGTGCAATCATTGATATCGATGCAAATTTTACTACGAGAATGTTGGCTGTGGAATTGAATACGAGTAAAAACACTATTTGGAGAATTTTAACTGAAGATTTGGGGAAAAGAAAGGTCTGTGCGCGATTTGTTCCACATGAATTGAATGACGACCAAAAAATCGCTGGAATTTTTAATGATAAAAGGGATTTCTCTCATCGACCATCCTCCATATTCGTCTGATCTATCACCATGTGACTATTATTTATTTCCAAAACTGAAACCCAAAATGAAGGGAGCATTTTATGATGATATCCCAGCCATTCAAGCAGCCGTAACCGAGGTACTGAAGAACATTTCTATAAATGACATAAAAAAATCTACGCATGCGCTGGTTGATCGTTCCAAACGTGTGTTGTGTTGAGTCAAATGGAATCTATTTTGAATAAATAATAACTTTCAAAGATAATATAATGTGTATTTTATTTTATATCCAAAAAGTTCGGTTATTTATGGGACACACCGTGTATGTATATATGTACTATATATCCATCTTGAGACACAGCAGCCGCCTCGGAACAAATGTAGGTTTGAATGTGTGTTTTTTCAAAAGTTATTGCCTTAAACGGTCGCTTCAATAAGCATTGAGAGATAAAAAAAAAAAAATTAATTCATTTTTAGTTACTTAAGTGCTGATGTACTGGAAGCACGGTTACCCCGTATGCATATTTATGTACTAATTTGCAAATATCGATTGATTTGTTTATTAGCTGCATAATAAATATATTAATAATAAATAATTTAACTTAGCTGGCGGGTTAAATATTTGTTGTTGTTGTTTCTTATTAAAATGCTATTTCGCATATCAACACAACCCTATTGGACTCGACCTTTATCAGCGTACTATTGCCGCTTAGGCAAATTTTCACCCAAGCTTCTTCTCCACCATTTTGGGCCTTGTTTGTGCCTCCCCCACCAAGTTTAGGCCTTGATGTTTCATGTGCCTGAGTTTACAGATATTACTTTGAGTAGTTGCGGAAGTCACAGTCCTTGGCCGTATAAAATCCTGATTGTTTCGATATGCAGACCCGAGTTTGGCTAGAATTATTCTCAGTTCGGTATTTCGGCAGACCTGTGGCTTCTTTAATTGCGTTGCATTAGCTTCCGGAAACTATATTGCAGGTGGGTAACTTATTGCCGGCCTGCCGATTGCTGTTGTTGTTGTATCAGCGGTTCGCTAACCCCCATTAGGGAATAGGGTAGATAAGTATTAGTTATCATAGATGCTTCGCTGCGCAAGTGATGCTCTGGCGTTATCAAAGGGGTTTCTTGTCACGGTCCTGATGACAGTGTTTTGGCAGACTTGTAGCATCTGCCGGCCGATTGTATTGTATGTTGTCTAAAATATTTTTTGTCACTTTCTCAAGTACTGCGAAAATGTTCTTGTTATTGTTGGAGTGGCTAACTAAACCCTAATAGCAGCCAATGTCTTTTGGAACGTTGAGAATGTCGGGTTGAATTTGAACAGGTGGAAATTTAAACTGCTACAATAACCAGACTGTAATTGCATTATGCATATCAGAAAGCCTGTTTGAGTGCTTTGCATACAATGGTTGGATCTTGTTCTATGAAGTCGTCTTTCACATCGAAAGAGAGTTAGTGAGGACTCTCTGCCCATTAGGAGTTCAAGAATTTACCCGAGGTGCAGCCTGCCTGTCGTTAGAGGCACCTAAAACGCCATTGTTTCCGCGGTAGTCAGGTTTTTATAGTGGAACGATCCGGATTTTTATCCGACCACGGACTCTCACTCCCGAAATCCAATTTGGCAAATATTTTTAGTGTTATTACAACAACACCAGAGTTAGAAAAGACGTTAATGGACACTGTGTAATTGGCGTCTAATGTTTGTCTATACGCTGTCCAGTTTAGCGTATCGATTTTTAATTGCCGTACTGAGTCTATATAGATGAGTATGATGTGATGTGATACGAACAGGTGCCTTTTGATATTTTCATTGGAATGTTTTATCTTCTTCAATTGTGTTGCACTATTTCCCGACCTCTATATGGCCCTTTTCCCCAACCAACTAGTATAGTATCTTCCAAGCTTAAATACTAGGCGGCAGAGCTGGTGAAGGATGCGGGTTTTCGAAGGAAGAGAATACAGAGATATGTGGATAGCAAAACGGTCATCCAGACCTTCATTTCAGACAGCATGAAGTCGACTGTGGTTGAAACATTTTAATAGGCGATAAAAACTACTAAAAACTGTCTGAAAAAAGAAGATTTTATATCCACTGGATGCCAGATCACACGAGCATTGAAGGTAACGATATAGCTGACGAGCTGGCTAAGGAGGGTGTCCTTTTAAAATAATAATTCCCAGTTACACTAAGGGATTCTTGCAACATCAGGCGATTAGACTTTGTTACGAGGTAAGGCCTGCATATTGGGCAAGCGCTATGCAAAATTTATGATACTGAACTTACAAAGTTTTTACTAGCCGTAAAGAGGTGGGCGTCTAGGCTGCTGGTTGGACTCTTAAGGGGCTGTGGAATGCATTTAATATATGTATATAAGTCTGATTGGGAACAACAAGTGCAGGATATGAAAGGAATCTGTGGGGACAGTGGACCACGTAATCTGTGAGTGTCCAGCATTCGGCAGACAAAGGGTATGATTACTGGGCGCATATAGCCTGTAGGTTCTTCTGTCAACAAAAAGCCAAGAAAATGAACGTAATAGAGTCTAAATGAGACCCGTTGGGGCAGCCCGTTCAACAGAACTTTCTCAACCGCTGGTTAAAAATTCTGTGTCTCTGGACCTAAATTACCTCAAAGGTAGCCAATGGTTTAAGCTCCCAGCCGAACCTACCCGAAACTGTGAAAAATACACACTTGAATGTATTTGTGTCCCTATTATCTATCACATAAAACCATTACTCAAATTTTTTGTCCGCGTTAAACTTTCCGGTTTTATAAAATTTCTCTAATATTATGACCACCCACTGTATGTCAATGCAATTCAACTAATTGATATCTGCGGAAGTGATCTTTTTATTGTCAACCCGCTTTTGTTCACAAAAATCATCTGATGTTTATCAAGCCAATAATAGACAGAGTTTATTTTGTTTTGACGTCATAGAATTTTTGCAATTTGCAATAAATTATGGATGATTGTATTAATTGATGTTGCCAAACAAATGATGATAATCACATGAACTCAGACGGCATGACAATAATTGTAACTCAAAAATGATGATAAAAAAATAATAAAAAATAAATCGCGGAAAAAAGCGGATTGAGGATAATTGTGCAGGTGGTAAAAAGACTCTAAACTAAAAAATGCGACAGTCATTTGAATGGCTTTAGGGACGGTGCTTACATGACGATCGGACTCGACAATAACCATGGTTTTATCAACATTTTCGACAATTGGCCTTCCAATCCGTGACTCCGTGAAGCATCTTTTCCATCAAAAATACCGGAATGAAGGCGAAATTGCGCATGATTGACTGTAATGCTGCAACTACCCATCTTACATGCCGCACAGCCATAACACGCGACTGTAATAGACTATGAGGTCAAGTAAAAAGTTCGTTCGGTTTTTATCTAAGAGATGGGCGTTATTCTCCTTTGCACTAGTGTTACGTGTCGCAACTAATTTATTTTTTAGGCTCGATACAGTAAACGAAGGTGTAGCACAAAAGTGCTTTGCTAGGTTCCGTTCCGGTAATTTCGATGTCAAAGATCCACCACGCGTCGGGAGATCTGTCGTCGAAAATTGCGATAAAATCATGGAAATTGTGGAAACAGACCGTCACGTGAGCACTTATTTAATTGCTGAGGAACTAAAGATAAGCCAGAAACCCGTTTGGAATTATTTGCATAACGTTTGATTCAAAAAGCTCAAATCAACTCGATGCTTGGGTGCCACACGAACTAACGCAAGAAACATGATAGACTAAATTTCCATCTGCGAATCGGTGCTGAATCGCAACAAAATCGACCCATTTCTGAAGCAGATTGTGAATGGCGATGAAAAATGCGTCACTTACGACAGCCCAAACGGTCGTGGACAAAGCTTGGGGAAGCGGCCCAGATGGTGGCCAAGACCGGATTTACGGCCAAGAAGGTTTTGCTGTGTGTTTGGTGGGATTGGCACGTGAATGTTTATTAAACATTTGTAGGAATCGAACAGATCTGAGATCTGATCATTATAATTTTCTTTTAACATTTTGGAACATAAATCCGTCAAAAAGGCATCGAA